AAAAAAAAAATTGGATTGCTGAGTGCGAGCTCAGGGCATGCCACGACAGGAGGTACCAGGGTGCAAAGAATAATCATTTTTACAGCTTGCCATTTAGGCAAACTGAAGCTAACATTTACTAGCCCAGACATCATTTCAAGCTTTTTGACAAGCAGAATTGATTTCACAGTTCTTCTGTTATTCGAATTCTTCAAAAAACATCATTTGCCTGTCGGGCATGTTAAAAACAGAATTCACTAGTCCAATAGCAAAATCCACTAGCCCCGGATATCGGACACGACTTTCTTTGCACGCTGGGTACTTGTAGGATACTTGTGCAACAGCAGTTCTTACATTGTATTGAGGAAAGTAAAGCTGTCATTCACCACTTTAGAGGGCCGAGTTAACTTTTGCAAAGACTTTTGGGACTGTTACTGGGGACAGTGAAAACAAAGTGGCCAATAGCTGAATTGCATGTCCCCAGCAACTTAACCCTTTAAGTGCCAATAGTGACCAAAAACAATTTTCTCCTAATAATATCCATACATTGTCAAGAGATAAAGTTATAAGAATTAATAAAATGATCACCAAAGGGAAATGCCTTGATCTTTTATCAAATTCTCTCAAGTAATTCTTAAAGGAAATGTATGGAGTTCAGTTTGGAGAATTTGTATGTGGATATTGGGGCTTAAAGGGTTAACCTCCCCCAGAGGTCTTTGCAAAATTTAAATCAACCCAGGCCGTTTCCTTCTTGTTTTTAAAGTGGCGAATGTGTCAAGTAAAAGTGGTACACAAAGATGACAAGATTATTTCCAGGATATGAAAAGTGTTCACAGTACAGGTGGAGAGGCATTCAGCAACAGGTGTCACCTGTCAATCAAGAGAGCAGCAGATATCCTTCCAGAATCTGTTTACTATGGTTTTTACTCAAACGTTTTTGGTGACAAAGAGGATCTTCCATATGGACTGTCTTGTTTATGTGATAACAAAATGTCTTTTCAGTTGGGGGCTGAGTGCAAATTTTTTTTTTCGTACTACTTTCAAATTTACGATAGAATAGATTTTCTGTATGGACTGTCTTGGTCGTGAGAGAGCCACAGATGTCTTTTGAGTTGGATGTTGGTTATAAACTTTTTTCCGCATTCTTTACAGATAAACTTTTCATCACCTACATGCTGACGGATGTGGCGTCTGAGTCCTTCTAGCTGTTCGTATGTCTTAGGGCACCACTGACACCTGGAGAGAAATGAAAATGGCACTGAATTTGTGTCAAATCCTGATCAAATACCAGATTGTTTTAAAGCTCAGCTTCTCTTGGGTTATGTTCACCAGTGCGAAAAGCTATCTGGCATATTATGAACACCTATCTAATAAATGGCTCTTCACTTTCGAGATCAGTGCAGTGCAGCTTCGCTCCGTTACAGAAATTGCACCAAAATCAGGGGCGGATCCAGGATTTTTTTTAGGAGGGGGTGCACTCGTCTCTTGTTCTACTTCAACACCAATAAACCACATAGTTTTTTTTTGCAGAATACCAGTTGTATTAGAAAACCGCAGGTCATCTCAGGGGGGTGGGGGGGGTGCGCACCCCCTGCACCCTCCCCCTAGATCCGCCCCTGAAAATAGCCGTTCTTATGTGTGAACAGAAGACCTATCAGGCATGGTTTTTGTGCCAACACAAAAGCAACCTGGTAAAGCATAGAGCCTTAAATTTAAGGCAAAGAGACAAATCATAAAACTGTTGCAATCACCTTTGCAGAATACAAATCAATATTATGCAAATTGAGAATGCCATGCGGAACTTGATAAATACACATTTCTCTGCCTACATCTTTTAAGTTTTTTAAACACTTAGACAAACACGTACATGTATCAACAACTTACTCATAAGGCTTCTTCTTGGCTTGTTTGTGTATGTGCATGTGTCGCTTTAGGTAAACTGCATTGATAAACTCCTTGGAACACAAATCACATGTAACAACTGATTCCCGAGAATGCAACAGTCTGTGTGCTTTCAAGTTATCTCGTCGCGTGAAAGCAGAACCACAGTCTTCACACTCAAAGTTCTTTTCATTCTTGTGACCTGCCATGTGGCGCTTGAGATCTGCACTTTTGACAAATGCTCGGTCACACTCTGTACATTTATGCCGTTTGTCCCCTAGATAACAACCAGAGACCAATATTAATTAGATATTTCAGAAATTGACAAAGAACCTTGGACTGAACCATAATATCGACATAAACTAGTAGTAATCTCACATTAGGAAGTGTGTTTGAGCTTTTTTAGGTTTACTGTCAAATGTGACATTATTTCCTAATAAATTGATGCTGCAAACTGCTTCCTGTGCAAAAAAAATTAAAAAGTCTCACCCGGCTGGAGTCAAACCCGAGACCTTCGACGTGTAAGGGCAACGCATTATCCATTGCACAATGCAACCAAAGTGTATGTCAAATTAATTGTATTTAACATTTTTGTGCCTATGAGATACATTATTCAAGATGGCGCAGAAAATGCAGACGCACAACAAAATGAGTACCACAAAAGGTCACCCTTGAGTACCACAGGAATCTCAACTGAGTACCACAGGAATCCCAAGATTATGTGTTGTGTTTTTCTAACGTCAAACACAACAAACCAAAGTCAAAATTAAACTGTCCCCGCTTGATATTCAGGCTCACTACTCACCAATATGGTACTTGATGTGAGATTTGATGCAGCCCTTAGTGCGGAACTCTTTGCCACAGTATTCACACTTGTACTGTTTGACCTGCACATGAATAGCCTTATGGATGTTGAGTTCCCCAGCAGTTCTAAATCCTTTTTGACATTCCTACATCAACAGTAATAAAAATAAGAATACAAAATAAATAATGATATCTAATGATACTAATAATGATGATAAAAACTAAAATTATCTTTGAGGGATAAAGAAAGAAAATTACATTGTTAGTAATGATTCAAATGGAAAATAATGAGGTTAAGAATCCCAACTGGAAGGAAATGGACTAGTTGCATGGTATGATTATAATTTTTGGGGAAAAAAATCAAGGCCTTTTCAAGGACCAAAATCATTAATTTTTTTTTCAAGGATGTTTTTTCCCCGTAATTTAACATAGAATGACATTGATATTTAACATACAATGATTTGGGTGCTGTTTTGCAGACCAAATTAACCAGAAGTTAATTTCCATCTGTTCACAGGCTAGGAAAGCTGTTGTTATTTACATTCAGTTTTGCACTAACAATGGAAAATTCATTTCAAGGTGGGGCAGACATTGAGTCGAGTCCTTAGCCACATCCACCACTGGCAGAGCAAAACAGACTTGAAAAAAACTGCCTCTAGTGTTTTATGACCATAACTAGTAACAGTTGATACTACAGCTGCCCCCGTTCTTTTCGCCTCTGGGCGAAATCCCTCTGGGAGCAATAAAGGATTACCTGGCAGATAAATGGCCTGGAATCTTGATGGCTTGTTTGGTGACGTCTTAGATCATTGTTGGTAAAGAACTTTTTATTACATTTGTCACATCCATAGCGTCTGACCTTTGCAGCCTCTTTAAATAGAACATTATTTTGAAAACAAAATTATTAATTATTTTGAACAAGCTAATTAAAAATGTTGCATGAACATCATCCAACATGGGTGACCAAATGGTCAAACAATGTTTGCTGAAACACTGAACAACTTCACTCTGACAACAGTCTGGCCAGGGATGAATAATTACAGTGTACGAGTGTTAAAGAAGAATCTGAGCATGAGGACTAACACCCTGTAAAATTGAAACAGCTGTGCAGTAGTTGTTGGAAAAAAAGCTTACTTTTTGGTAAATTGAGGGGTACATGTAGTGCTCCCTAACAACAATGCCTTGATGTGCATTCTAGTGGCTAGACAAGAGTTTAAAACATGAAGATGGGTGATAACAAACAATATTGTATAAGGGTTTTTGTGATATACAGAATAATCAAGATAAGGTAGTATACACTTTATACTGAAATTATTACTCTGATTATTCTGGACCACACAAAAACCAAACCTAGAATTGTTTTATTACACATTGTTTTGAAGAAAATAATGACAAACACCAAGTGGAACAGAACACAGTTTGACATTGCTCTTGGAAATCAAACATAAACATTGTGCATGAACCTACAGAAAAGTCAGTTATCTGTTAGTAGATAACTAAACTAACCTCTAATAACTGTAAGCAATAGTGAGTAAAATAACATAATAATAACAGCATTTTATCAAACCAACCTGGTTTCTTTACAGTCTTTTGTGGCCAGTTGTTGACAGGCTCCTCTTGTGAACCCTCTCCAATGTCCAGCCTTCTTTCAGCTAAAATCATAATCTCAGGCTCTGCCCCGGTCTGCGTCATGACCTCTCTGATTCGTACAATCTTCTTGGTTGTATTTATTTTAGGTCGTTCCTCATAGCTGTCTGCCTGCACAGTACCGGCTACTTCTGCACTGGACATTCCTGCTGGCAATTCTCCTGCAAAGGACTGTAAGTCTGTTAAGCCTGGATTCTGCATGACTTGTGATGTCTGTACTGTGATGGACTGAGATACATTGTCAATGGGTACATTCTCCCCTGTCACAACAGATTGTGCTATGACTATGTTCTGAGAAACTTGGGTGAGTGCACCAAATGATTGATCTGTTGGCAGCGCATCTTGTGACACACCTGGCGCCATGGTGCAACTGTTGGTATTAGCTGGGATCAAACCACCTGTAGAAACCACCACTTGTGCTGAATTTTGTTGATACTCACTTTGTGCAGGATTTGTTTGAAAGTTTGCTAGTTCCATAGCTTTTTCAATGACTCCGCTGCTGGAAGATGAAGAATCCTGAGGAACAACACTTAGAGTGACAGGCTGAGTAAAGAACAACGCATTTGCAAATGGCATTGACGAGGCACCTGCTGTAGAAACAGATGGAATCTCACCAGTAGCAGTCACACCAGGTGACCCTAAAAAAAACACCAGGGCAGGTTGAGTTCCACCAGATGAAACATGTGGGGGCACAAATGGTCCTTGAGTCACATTTTCATGGGAATCGAGATTCAAAAGCATGGGCCCCTGTGTTGCAGAGCTTTGTACAGGTTCAGTACCTTGTGGTCTGTCTGTACATGTAGAATTCTTCCAATTACTTGTTTCGTCTTCCAGGTCTGATGACTGGTCCACCACAGCGATGACTTCAACCTCTTCACTTTCCAATTCAATTGGTTCACTTTCTTTTTCTTTTGTTCCTCTGAAGAAAAAAAAAACACATATCTCTGATATTATTTTCCCATCACCCATCATATCAAGTTTAAGATTCTAATTCTTATCAATTTAAGATTCTAATTCTTATCAATTTTAAGATTCTAATTATTATTCTTATCAATTTATGGACTGGCGCCATCCTATCTTAGTGATTTGATACAAGTGAAGCACAAGAGTTCACACGCATTATGCTAGAACAAAAGCCTATTATTAGAAGTTCCACAGGAGATAATGCGCCCTATACTCGGTGGCAGGTATTTTTACTTTTGCCACACTGGCTTCATGGAACAGCCTACCTGGGAACTTTTGTAATGTCACAACACTTGCTGTTTTTAAAAACAAACTTAAGATGTTTTTGTTTAGGTCTGCATTTTAAAAATTACTTCCTATTTAATAATGTTTTTAATATATATATTTTTATTTTGTTAAGCGCTATTGATCAGCATAATTATGTAAATAGCCCTATATAAGCTATTAAATTATCATTTAAGATCATTACATTTGCAACTCTTTATGGAAATATTAAGTAAAAAATATGCATTTAAAAAAATATAGTGGTATAAAATTCTGTACATCTGAAGCTATCAAAAAGTCGCAAACAAGTGCATGTGTGATTGACTCACATTGTACATGATATGAAATCAATAAATTAATGAGCATTATTTAAAAAACTCGACAACCTAGACTGATTCTCAATTTCCTTTGTGTCCTGGCCTTAATTATTCATGATCAGGAAAACTTGATAATAAATGACAGTCGAACTTCCCGTAAGCGACCACCCAAAATGCAAAGACTGAGTGGTTGCTTGCAGGAGGTGGTCATTTACAAGAATCAAACCCCAATGGGTCTCTTCCAAGAAGAGGTCCAAGCACATCTACTTTATGGAAGATAATTTATTGCATGCAATGTTTAAGTTAGGATAAGTGTAGTTCTATGTTGTCACTAAAGTTCTTTGTATATTCTAAGTAACATAGTGCACACAGTGAAAATAGAGATCAGAGAATGCGTCAAGTGGTCGTTTACAAGAGGTTAAAAACAATGGAAAATATTAACCATAACGCCCAAAAGCTGGTCGTGGTCGCTTACAGGAGGTGGTCATTTACTAGAGGTTCCAACTGTAAGGCTTTGACTGGGAAAATTGTGGTGTTTTGGACTGGCGGTTGCTTATGGGAGGTGGTCTTATGAGAAGTGGTCGCACATGGAGGTTCAACTGTATTAAGGTTATGAAACAATGGAAACTGAGAATCAAACTCTAACATTACTTTCATTTTGACCTACAGGATATACTGATCCAAACTTACATGTTAGAATAATTGTGAAAGGTCTCTGATACTGTTACTCCTTCTGATTTATCCTATAAAAAAATATTGAAGAGAAAACTGTGATTTCTTCTTGAAAAAGCTAACAGGTTGCAGCTCATTACTGTAAATCTTAGTTCTAACTGAACAATGAGACATGCATAGCAGGCATGAAGCTAAGGGAGAAAATTAGCCAACTGAGGTATCCATTCAGCCAGATGATTCAAGGGCCTTCAGTGTCAGTATCTGATGTCAGAGAGGCTATGGAGGTGGATGTCCGAGGGGAGGGGGGGATCTCCTCTAAAACTTTTAAGTGGCTTTTGATGCCCACTGGTGCAATCCTAGCCTATGAAAACAGCTGACATTTTGCAATGCCACCACTGGTTCCCTCACGAAATGATGTCTGAGTAACAAGCACAGAAATTCCATACTGATGAGGCATCACTACCCAGATCTGGGTAGTGCTTCTGTTGTTTGGAGCAAATTCCTCATACGGCACGACCAATCAGAAGCAAGTACTACCCTGATCTGAGTAGTGACGTGTTATCAGTACGGAATTTCTTTGCCTGTTCCTCAGACATGATTTTGCGGGGAAACTGGTGGTGGCGTTGCAAAATGTCAACTGTTTACTCAGGCTAGTGCAATCCAAGGCCTCTCTTGTGAGGGGAGATCAAACAGATTTTATACACTAATGTTAACAAATAGTGGATAGAGCATTCAAATAGTGTAGCATGAAAACAATCAGTTTAAATATTTTGAGATTTCTCAAATGAAATTGAAATAGTTAGACTTGCAAAAAAGCAGAATGTCACCAAAATTCACAATTTAAACATTTCTTTTTTGTGAAGGGTATTTCACAGTCAAGAAGCCTGTCTTAAATAGTCAAATGCCACGGAGGTTGCCCGGGGGGAATTGAGCGGCGCGTATATATGTCACACAATAAAATATAAAAAAGGGGGCGCGTTTCTTGCTCCAAAATATCCATGTAGAATATTTCAACACACGTACAACAAACCAAATTTATTTGAAACACAATAAGTCCGATTATTAATGCACTAAACTTAGCCATCAGGCAAAAAGGCAAACATTAAGTTATTTTGTATCATTACAAAGCACTCACTTTATCGTTAGATGTCGCTGTCCACGACTTAGCAAAACTGCACCCGATCTGTTTTGCGTCCACAGTTGAATTTTCGGATGATCTAGGGAAAGAAGACATGTCTTTGAAAAATTATGTTACACTACAACAAACTGTTAAAGAGAAGTCAATCATATATAAAAGCCCATAAAGATATCCAAGGAACGAAGACCATGCACGAGGGATACATGCGCAAGAAACGTTGCTGCCTGTACTCCTGCAGATAAGATAAGATACAGCGTCTGTACCTTTCAGTTTCCTCCATCATTATTTTTCCAAAAACTTCACATAGAGCTCATGATTTCGTCCCCTCACTCTAATTTTCGCGTTTTCACAGGCTGAGGAACGAAAAAAACAAGGCGTCTTCACCGCACCAAAGAAAGATATCCCAGAATGCCTTGTTACTCACAACGTGCCACCTTCCCACAACACCTTGCACACCGCAGGATTCCGCGCAGATCTGTGGTTTAAGATCTGTGGCGCCTCTGCGGCGCCAAATACAGCTGTTTAGGTCTCTTGATATATGATTATCCTGTAGTGACCTGTAGTCCTGTAAAAATATTAGGACTCCTGGTTAAGCTCATTCACGAGCAAAAAAAAAAAATTCACTCGAAATGAAAGAGAGCGGACGAAATCATGAACATAGGGCATCCATCATGGCTCTGATCGGCTTCTGGCTTCTGGCCAAGGCTTTTGATTCGGTTCCTTGGCCTGCCTGGAGGATTAAATGGCCTTTTTATACTAAGGACATATTATCCGTCTGGACGAACTTGGGCAAACCTTTTGTGGTTCATCTGGCACCAGAAGAACCATCGGTAGTGCGTCGTTCAGGGCGTGATTCGTCCAGACGCATGCATAATGCGTCTTGTACCCGTCACATAACCAGACGAAGGTTTGTCCAAGTTCGTCCAGACGGATAATGCGACTGTATGTAGTATGAAAACGGCCATGGACGGATAATGCGTCCTCTCATAAAAATGGCCAATGACTATCACCCCATTAATCTCGTACCCAGTTCTCCCACGGCCAAGGGAAAGGGAGATCTCACTTTTCAGCGTAAGACAGAGTGAAATCTGGGTACGAGATTATCGCCCCATGTAAGGAAATCCAAGGTAGTCTTTCGGGCGCGATCCATTCAACCAAAATTTCCGGAAATTTCAGTCCAAAACTCAATGGATCGGTTTGGTCCAACCGGAAAAGTTTCGAAAAAACGGGTCCACCTTTTGAGGTGGACCACTTTTCCCGGTCGGACCGGTTGCAATTTTGGTTGAATGGATCGCGCCCTTGGATTCTGGATCCACATAGAGATTACGCAATCCAAGTACTGTACTCTGTCGGGATTCATTTCTCAGTTGACTGGCTTAGATTCGGGATCCCAATCCTTAGTGGGATCTGCATTATTTCATTTGGGCTGTATTCCAGATTCCAAAGCTCAGGATTCCAGATTCCACAAGCAAAAATACATGGGAGGAACTTATTTTACAGGTATATACGTCTTTCAGTGATATAGATCAGAATCATATCATATTCGTCATGCATGCGCGTGGAGTGAAAAAACGTCACAGTCCATTTTGGGCAGATTGGGGGCGCTTTCCATTTGACAAACACTCCGATTTGAAATTTCGGAAAATCTACGTGATCAATGCAACGGTACACTCCGGTCGCACATACCCGACCCAAGCCACCGCGCGTTTGGTTATTGCTCTTGTAAGCAGGATACAAAAGAGCGGTACTGGGGACAACAATTTTGTGAAATAGAAAGGGACATTTCGGTCCGACCGACCGAGGTAACCTGACCGGTCAAAGTGGACCACCTTGAAGGGTGGTCCCAAATATTCCGGTCGGACCGAATCGAAATGTTCTGTTCCATTTGATTTCTAACCGAAATTTCCGGAATTTTGGGCTGAGCGCCCTGGGGGTCTAGGGGCATGCACAGCTTCCCAAGGAAGATGATCAAATTTTGGGTCCTCGGGAATGCTGTTTGAAGTGTAGCGGCGGGCAACTCAAAGTGTTTTGTTCCGAAATTCAAAAGAGGCTTTCGATCTAGTACCCTGAGAAAACAGCCTACATTTGGCGACGCTATCACTGGCTTCCCCCCAAATGACGTCTGAGAAAAGAGCGCAGAAATTCCCCACTGATGACGCGTCGCTACCCGGATCTGGGTAGCGCTTCTGAATGGTAGTGCTTCTGCCGTGCATAACTTTTAGGGATAGACTGGCTTGACAGTTCTGATTAATAGTGAAATTCCCAGAGTGGTCTTCCCAACCATTTTTAATGAATGTTAAGCACCCTATGGGAAAACTGATCAATGTGTGAATCCGGCCTACGTCCCGGTCTCTGTTGGAGGATAAGAGCAGTCAGACAAGTTAACCCCTTGCATTACAGCACCCTTAAAAAACGCCACGTTATTGATGTCCTTTAAGAAACCACTGAGGTTTTCACGGGTCACTATGCTCAACAACTAAGCTCTCAACATTGGGAGTGTATACACTACATTTCCATGATCAAGGCTTAAAAAATGCTAACAAACATTGAAACGCACTCTTTTAAAATCTTTGACTGTTTTATTGTTGATTTAAATGGATCTTATAACTAATACACTGAGAGATACTGGACTTGCTAATTTAAAAAACAATGTATAAATTCTAGACATTCTGGTTTATCCAAACAAATAAGTTTTTAAACTTATTTGTCTACTGACAATGCTTTAATGTTATAACTACAGAGCACGGAGCCTACAGCAAGGCAGTTCTCCCAGACGAGCTAAGTCGAGAGAAATCTCACTGATTATAATCACCTTGCGCTATACCTTTGCGAGTGCGACAAATTGTTTGACAAGTTTTTGACATCTTTGTTTACAAAACCGCCTTCCTCGTCTCTGAAATGTAATCAAATAAGGTCTTCATTCAAGTTACGAAGGACCGACAATTTTGCTCGGCACTAAACAAAAGCCCATTTTCGTATGGAAAAGTCGAGAATTACTGCTGTTTTTATTGGTATGCCGCCAAGCCGAGTCATGCTTGGACCAACCTTGCTCCAGGGTCTTGTCGTTTTCCAATATAGCGTTTCTGTCTCAGCCATAAAAACGAAAAGACCCTGCGGACGAGGTTGAAAGAACGCCTAACGTTGGCAAAAACCTGCCAAAAGTTTAACAATGAGTAGGAAAACTGTAACAAATGACCTTCGAGGAATGGGCTTTATCGCTGTCTTCGCAGACTGTCCTCACAATGGAGTGCTCGAACCATACTTATATCAACTAACAGCAAACATGCATAAAACAACACTGAAAAAAAAAACACGAATCCTCGTGGTTGATGGTCTTAATATCGCTTAACGTAAATCATTATCCAGGTTGTTCATACGCCTCATTCCTGCAAAATAATACGAAAAAATATTCAAAAGTTTGAAAGAAAAACATAGCTTTAGCAACGTGAAAGACAGTCTTTTCAAAAGTGATGTGTTTGAGACAGGCTCTCCTCAGTCTTCGTAATATCTTACGCAGCCGTTTCTTGTGTCGTCATACAACACTCCTCACCACACGGTTGCGTAGGAGACTACACTCAGGTTTTATAGCTTATTCTCTCATTATTGACATTAAGTCACGCATCGTCAAGCATCAGACTATCAACCTAGTTCCCAGCATCCTCTCTTTCTAACCCTAGGGGCGAGGTTGGGGAGCACTAAAATTCACCATTTCACATAGACCATAACGCACCCTGTTTACCCTCCAAAATTTTGCATAACCATTGTTTCCAATTTCTCCTGCGTAATACAGTCGTCCCAAGAGAAATCGAAGACAATTGTTAAGCAATTTTTTTTTTTTTGGGGCGGGGGGGGGTAAACATGGTACATTATGAAAAAATGGTGAATTAGTAGTATTTTCGGCTAATAAGCACGTGTTCCAGCACATAAAGCTTCTGTACATTACGTTCCTTTGACGTGGCAGTACACGCTAGGGAAGGCAGAGCCGAGAATGACACAAGGAATGACACAAGGCAAACAAAAGTCAAATTGTTTGGAGAGGAGGAGAGTGGAGAAATGTTGAAACTCCCACTTTAACTTTGTTGCGCTGTTCCTTGACTTATCGCACTGTCACAGTATTGCAAACTTCAGTGCTATGGTAACACTAAGATAGCGTTAGTTAATTTGAGTCTGATGCGCACATTTGAACAGGTCAGGTCAGACACTGAGCAAGTTTGCTCATCTACATTGCTTTCATTTTGGTGCTTGTATGTGGTCAGCACCTGTCTACGGCTAGTGGTACTTCGATTGTAATTGTCCAGAAGGATAGGGTGATATGCTACTGACTTGTCTTAAAATAAAGTTGTTGTTGTTGTTGTTACTTAGTTTCTCACAACTTTTGTACCAAATAAGATGGCTTCGTTATCCGATTTAATCAGGACCTAACATAGCCTCCCACGCAGGCGTTTTTAGGGGAGCTCGTTTGTCATCCCTCCCCACAATGAAAAACGAGCTCCCCTAAAAACGCCTGCGTGGGAGGCTAGACCTAACACTGGCCCGTAAAAAAGGCGTCCCTTATCACCACACCGATCGGTAGTATTAAAGCCGGATTGTATACGGTGTAATTAATTCTAGAAGAGGTAGAAATTTAGCACCGGACAGCTCGGAAAAAATTCCGAGCTCCAAGTGAGATTCAAACGCACGACCCTCCGAGCTGTAACTTTTGTAACTTTTGTAACTTTATTTGATTTACCACAAAATACAAATAACGATAAAACAAGACAGTTACACAAAAGCAAATGAAAGTGGCGAGGAAGCCCAAAAAGAAACCATGAGGCTTATAGACATTGGGCTCCCTCAGAGTAAAAATAAAGTTAACGGTAACGGTAAGGCCAGGATCGAAAGCAAAATACAATGAAGGTAAGTATAAATTAACTAATTACATAGACTGAGTTGACAAAATATAAGGTATGGTACAAGTAACAATAAGTATAAAAATAATCTCAGACATG